CACTGAACTGCAGAGACGAATCATCCTAGCACTCAAACTTCAAAGGCCAGAATGCCCAACAGATTTTAGTGCGATACATTAAAATAGACAATGCAAATACAGAATTAGAATGTTGTACCTGACACATGGATCTCAAACCCATAAATTGCAGTGGCCTCTTTGTAGAAAAGCAGAACTCGATCAATGAATCCACCATGAGACATTGTTTGAATGAATCACCCCTCCGCCTTAATACAGAAAATCCGCCAATTCTAGTGACAAACACAAGGCCTGAAAGTTGCGACGCCCATCCATGCTAAAAAGTTATGAAATTGTTGGTTTGCTAGACGCAAATATAATATGCACGAACACAAATAGTTCACATATGGCCTGAGATATTTTCACTTGTGAACTAATAAAAACTCAAAATTTACAATTTGACATATAGATATTTGTCAAATACACTGTATGGACCATTTATGAACTTAAAAAAGCCAAATTCATGACTTGACATATATACATACTTGAAATAAGCTATCTAAATCATAATAGATGTCGATATAGTTTCTTGTCTATAAATAACTTCGTATGTGAACCAATGTTACCAAATTGTCTAATTGATCCTAGTCGCCATGGCACCAATCAGCCCGACTAATTGTGATTAGTCACGATTAATTGTGACTAATCATAGTGCATAGCTGATCGCCATGGCACCGATCAGCCCTGACTAATTGCGATTAGTTGGACAACTTGATAACATTGATGTGAACACAAAGACTTCATATCTGAACACAAATTGTTCCATGTGTGAACTAAACACTAAATTTGCCCCATCACATATATCCTTTTTTGAAATAGGCTATATGAATAATGTACAAATCAATGCCAGTATTTTTGTCCATGCAATTGGTAGTCTTGAGGCCTGGAAAATAAAATGTGAAGTCACTATGACAAATTAATACCATAGTAGGACAGGTTAAGTTGGTAAAAAACAATGGACCGAACTGGCTGGAACCTAGACTCTAGGTGGCAGAAACATGGGGACAGGGATCTGAAACAAATTGTTGATTTTGTTCTTTTGGTCAAGCATTAGGGGGGTTGAGGGACCCCACCTGAATGGTTTAGAGATGGAAAGAATATGATAATTGTCCAAATCTCTATCAAATCTGAATTTTGTGGGCAATTAGCAATGTTGTGCATCCACCCAAGGTTATTGAACCGCGGCTAAAAAAATAGTCATAAGTATTAAATGGAGGGTTAGCGGGACCCTTCTAGTTCAAGAATCCATATATGCCCAGAACTAGAACATCCACGCAATTAAAGCCTTTTAACTAAAGCATGACCCTTCTAGTTCAAAAAGCAAAAAAAGAGTTAGAGGGACCAAAGTGGATCTCACCATATTGTTGCGATCATGCACCTCAACTCCAGGAATTTGGCAAGAAAACTAGGGAAATTTACATCCAATGGAGCTTGATCGAAAATAATACCATGTGTGGACGCAAAATCATGAACTCGATGTAATCTGGCATCAAGTTAGATTCCTAGTGTCAAACAATGTTAAATGTACATGTAAATCCTAGCTATCTTCAAAATATTGGTATGTTCAATGTGACTCAAGAAAAAAAAGGCAGTTTATCATACTGTGTAAATGGTGACAGCTAGCACCCATGTGTGCGCAGAAAAACATAAAGTTTTTGGTGTCTATCATATAGGCCCTGTTTAGATCCCACCCAAAATCCAAAAATTTTCAAGATTCCCCGTCACATCAAATCTTGCGGCACATGCATGGAGCATTAAATGTAGGTAAAAAGAATAACTAATTGCACAGTTTACCCGTAATTAGCGAGACGAATCTTTTAAGCCTAAATAGTCTATAATTGGACAATTTTTGCCAAATACAAACAAAAGTGCTACAGTACTCAAAAGCCAAAAAAAACGCATCTAAACAGGGCCATAGTTTCCTTGTCCCAGATAATGGCATTATGATTTAAAAAAAATAACTGTCCAAACACTCCAGATTAATGATGCCAGTATGAAGGAAGCCGAATTGGCATTGAGGCATATAACTATTGTCCATCACATGCAGGGCATGATATATGCATTGTATTATCAGCTGTGGATTGCATGATCAAACAAGCCATTGGGAAAAAAAAGCTAGTTGACAGCAACTTAGTTAAAACCTGTACTCACAAGCAGAAGCATCAAAGCAATATGGTATACAATCTAAGAAAAATGACAAGCAGTTACAAAAATACAATATCAACTTCTATTCCTATCTAGTAAGATCTGAATTGAATCAGGACTAACATTCAACTTAAATGGATAGCTAAGAAAAGAAAAAAAGTTCCCCTGTATAATCAGTAAAAACTACATGAGCTTGAGAGGAGCATGGAGAAGGTTTTGCATACATTAATATCGCAATCCCACACTTACAGTTGCCATTTCTGGAGGTGTTCAGGACATGAGACTAATACGAAACAGACTAAACTGATTTTAAATAACAAAATTGAATTAAAGATCGAATCAGGACTATTTCATATTCTGGAAATGTTGTGCTTATATTGAAAGCACATGTGAGTTTGAACCTTGTGTTGGGGATGCCAGCTTACAAGCCAAAACTCCAGTGGCGCAATATTGCAGCCTCACAAACTATCAGAACAGAGATAATTGTGTTGCATTATTACAAAGGTATCTGTCCCCAATTTCAGGCCATGGCATGTCAAAGAGCTGCTGCACGAGGTAACCATGATAGCAATCACCGGCTCGCATGTCAAAGAGCTGCTGCACGAGGTAACCATGATAGCAATCACCGGCTCGCATCTCCTTTCCGCCGTCGACCTCGCGAGTCCGCTCTTTCATCTGCCGACACCTGCATCAACACCACAGTCTAAAATGTGGCATGTCATTGATTCATAATCTAATAGACAATGAAACGACAGTAGACAAACAGAAGCAATGCATGAAAATGTCATGGGTTCATAATCTAAAAGCCAGCATATTATATTATGAGTGAATAGTAAACTTAATTATATACAAGCTATCATCAATTTAGTTTCTGAAACACAAATAATTACATATGTAGATGCAAAATCTTAGCTACCAAAAAAATGAAATGGATGAACCATAAAATCCTTAGTTATTTGTAGATGACCTAGACTGGCCACAAATATTATTTTGCACAAAAAAATTGAAATCACACCTTTTTTCATGAATCGATAACAAATAAGTTCTCCACAACAAGCCATGATGACCCGGCTCAACTTCCAAACTCAAATCATGTGAGCATTGAGTTAAAAAATGCACAATTAATTTAAGTGATGTAATGTTCCACGATTAAAAGACAGGCTACAGGTGGTGTCTACTCTGAATTCCAAACCTATTACCTGAGGGTTAGAGTTCGAGACCAGAGGAGACAAAGGGCCTGCTTGGTTCCGAGTGTGACCTTGCCTGACCAGGGGAGCCTTCAATGACTATTCCTAAATAAGAGGAATCATAATTCTTTTCCATGAGAAAAGTGAGCAGATTGGTTCCTTGCAGCTTACTGGCAAGCTGACACCCTTGTTTACGTACACGCTGTCCGCCATCGTGACAGGGAGGACGGGGGAGGGCTGCACCGTGCCTAAACGAGAAAGGGCTGCCGACGTTCACCTACCGACAGGTCCTTGCCAGCTGCACCACCATATCCTTGGCAAGCAGTAGCAGCATGGTGAGCACCGCCTTCCGCCAACACTGGTGTCCATGGGATCCGGCCTATCAGCAGCTCCCTCTGCAAAAAGAGGCTGATGGAGTCATCAGTTACAATAATTGGACTTTGATGCAGAACACAAAAAAAAATCCCAGCGTACCATCAGCTGGTCAAATAAAACCACACGAGACAAACAGATCAAACCTAAAATCAAATGGGAACCTAATGTTGAACATAAAATTCCTTATTAGGACGAACACGACAGAATGTTACGCTTCCAAAACTGAAGGAGGGTATAGGGATACCTGACGGACCAGATGCCTCCATCTACGCGGGAAAGCATCAGTAACCGGCGCTGCCACCGACCGAGTAAGACTGTCCGCCTTCACCTGGGACTTCTCGGTCGCATCCCGTGGCGGCGGAGAGCTAATGGGTGAGGGGAGCACGACGGTGCCAGGTGAGCTCGCAGGGGCGGCGAGCCAAGGTGGGCTTGCAAGTCCTTTAATTTCTGTCTGATGCAGCAGGCTGCGGGGGGTAAGGTGGGCGTGGGGGCGGGGCAGGCGGTGGCGCCGATGCGACTCCTGCAGGGCGAGGTGGAGGCGGCGACACCGGGGAAGCTTGCGTCCAAAGATCCGCAACTGCGCCCGTCGCCCACCCCGTGCGGCTCGCTGTGTCACCGCCGGTGCTCGCGGGGGCTTCGGCGAGCACGGCTGACGGTGGTGCTGGGTGGGAACAGTAGCTGCAGGATGGGGTGGGGGCCAGCGCCGGCGAGGAGGTGGATCGGAAGAAAACTGCGCAACTGGCGTCGGGGTGGGATTGATGCGGTGAGATCGTGGGGGTGGGGTGGGAGCGGCCGGTGATGCCGCTCGGCTGCTCGGGGCTCGGGCAGACGGTCCTGGTGCTGCGAGGCTGGGCCGGGCCTGGAGCTTGTCCAGTTGGAGCGGTGGTGGGCCTTGGAGCCGAGCAGGAGGCTTGTCTGCCAACAGGACGCTGGGTACTGAATAATTATTTAGTACGCAGGTAATGTATATAATATATATATATATATATAATGCAAATGACAAAACAGTTGGGGCAGAGAGATCCACCTCGTGGGTCAGAGGCCGTCCATCGCGGAACCAACGGCGGATGCTCCTTCACGCGGTTTTGAACACTTCAGCAGCCCCCAACGATTTGTTCGGTTCGTCGAGAGAGGACAGACAACCTCCATTTCTTTCCACATTCCACCCTCTCTCTCTCTCTCTCTCTCTTCTTCTTCTTCTTCCTCACTCCCCCCATCTCTCTCGTCCTCCGCCACACGCCGCCGCCGCCATCTCCGGGAAGGCAGGGCGGGAAGATGATGATGACGCGGGCCCCGGTGGGGCCGATGGAGGGCGCGGCGGTGGACGATGTGGTGCGCCGCCTCGTGGAGGGCGGCCGCGGCGGGCGCCAGGTGCAGCTGTCCGAGGCGGAGATCCGCCAGCTCTGCGTCGAGGGCAAGCGCGTGCTCCTCTCCCAGCCCAACCTCCTCCGAATCCACGCCCCCGTCAAGATCTGCGGTAATCCTCGCCTTCCCCTTATCTATCTATCCATCTATCTACCTGGGCGATGCCGCCTGATTCCTTTCCCTTTTTCGTCCGGGTCGCCGCCTAATTCCTCCGCCGTCTCTCGGCGTCGTGGTATCCCCGATGTGGATGCGGGAAGGGTAATTTGGTCGTGCTATTTTTGGTTCCGTGGTGAATTGCTCAGTCATGGTTGGATTTGGGCGACCCGGGGTAAAAAATGTTGTTTGATAGAATTGGTGCCATGTTTTCCTGTCTCCATTCCGTGCGTGTTACGTTTGCAGCCTGAGAGGCATGGAAATGATTGATGGATGTATGGATAAGTTGGCGGGAGTAATGATGTGTGATGATTAGGTAGAAAGGGAATGCCCTCGAGTTAGGATAACGTTTTGTCCATATATCAATATATTGCTCCTTCAAAAACTCTCCTTTCCATTAACCAACTGTACAATTCTAGCAAATACCATTATCATTCGGTTATGCACAACCTGCTTCACGCCCATCATTTCCCACTGAGAACCTGTATGTGTTGAGTCTGTTGAGATAGGTGAACTGACTTGTGCGATTGAGAATTGTGTTGGTATGAACACAGTAGTCCTCTTTTCATGCCATGTATTTGTTCTATAAATCCTTCTATGTCTACAGTCAAAACAATTCCGCCTTATCAGTTGTGGTGCTCTGCAGGTGATATCCACGGCCAGTTTGTTGACCTTCTGAGATTGTTCGATTTGGGCGGTTATCCTCCAGCATCAACTTACGTATTCCTCGGAGACTATGTCGACAGAGGCAAACAGAGCTTGGAGACCATATGCTTGCTGCTGGCGTACAAAATCCGGTACCCCGAAAAGATTTTCCTGTTGAGGGGGAACCACGAGGATGCGAAGATCAACAGAGTCTACGGATTCTATGACGAATGTAAGAGGAGGTTCAATATTCGGCTGTGGAAGATATTCTCCGATTGCTTCAACTGCCTGCCCATTGCAGCACTCATTGATGACAAGATACTGTGCATGCATGGTGGTCTCTCTCCCGAACTGACTAGTTTGGACCAGATAAAGGACATTGAGAGGCCTGCTGAGATTCCTGATTATGGTCTCCTGTGTGATCTGCTGTGGTCTGATCCTAGCCCTGATGGAGAAGGGTGGGGGGAGAGTGACAGGGGTGTTTCGTGTACGTTTGGTGCAGACAAACTCGTAGAGTTTTTGGAGAAGAACGATCTTGATCTTATATGCCGAGCTCATCAGGTTTGTGAAAGTCTATCTCCTATCCTGTTTTATTAATTATATTTTTGGTTCTCTATGAGCTTTACCTGACAGTGCTGTCATGGCCCTAGGTGGTTGAAGATGGTTACGAGTTCTTTGCACAACGGAGATTAGTGACAATCTTTTCAGCTCCAAATTATTGTGGAGAATTCGATAATGTCGGTGCTCTATTGAGCATAGATGAGAGCCTAATGTGTTCATTTCAGATCCTGAAGCCAACTGATATGGGTCCACCGCATGCAAGAAAACAAATTCCAAATAAGGTAAATCAGCTACATTCACATAGGAATATAGGATTAGTGTTCAGCTATAAAGCTACCAGTTGAATCATTAGAGATCAAATGTTTGTTATAGTATTATCATATTAGCTAGAGGTCTAGAACCCATGCTTCACACATAATGACATAATGGAAGAGTATTTGAGACTCCAGCTATCAGCTGATGCCAAAAAATGAATTCTTGAGAAATACGATGTGTGCAGGATCTATTATGGTTTGCTAATTCTAAAGCTTGCGATGCCTAATAAATTACATTTGACATCATGACCCCATCACTGATGCTTATTCATAAGAAAAGCTTAGGGATGATTTCCTTCCATTAACAATCTCTTCTGCTAATACTTGAATACATAAGGATGGTGATGAAATTATTACCAGATATTATTTAATGAACCTTTTTCCTGAGATAACCGTTTCCATCTCGTCAACCTCACGACATATTCTCTAATGACAATATGTTGGCATTCACATCTGATTAACAAAACTATTGATTCTTGAATAGCGGTAGGCTTATAGAAAAAATCCCATGCATAATGTCCTAATTGTTCACTTGTTTAGTCAGAGAACAATAGGGGTTAGTAGGTTTCTGTTTGAGTACTCACCAAAGACCTAATAGATCAAGATGCTTAAGTGATGATATCTAGGAGGAGTACAGCTCACGTTGTTCTGAATAGATCAGGGGTTATAGTAATATCAGCAGAGTTTGCATAGATCATCCCTTCTGAAATTGTCTATGTAGATGAGCTAACCAGTGACAATCAAATAGCTACGTGTGAGCCACCCTGAGGTCCAAAGAACAATTGACTCCCCATTGGATAATTTTAATGTACTTTACGATACTTGTTTATATTCAAACAAAACTGTACTTTCCGCCAGGCGAATGATTTGAAGGCAAGCAAACTGATTGCATCACTCTGTCTTCCACTTTACAGCCAGCAAGAGGGTGAAGCCTTCGACCAGCATCCATCCAATACTTTTTAAGTACCACGATCGTCAGTCAGCTCAAAGGGGGTGATCTGTTGTTTGGATAGTTGGATCCACCAGGGCATGGCATTAAGACATCCATCAGCCAATCCATCCCCTTAACCACCCTTGGGTGGCGGCTTGGCTGTAAAGGATATTCTGTACAGCATTAGGTTGGATTCAGCACACCATATGTTTCATTGTTCTTCCTGCCGGCACAGGACCTCATTGGCAGCTTGACATCCAGTAGATGTTAGTAATCTCTATTTGTTTTTTTTCTTAGCTGTGCCATGCGTTGTTTTTGTGCGTGACTTGATGTATGGTGATTTTATCTTTGTAATATGTAGATGTTGCAGGAAATAGGTCTGCACAAATGTTGTGTCCATCAGCAGTACCATTCTTTTTTACCTTCCTTTCATTTCTTTTGTGGACATGGAAGGGAAAGATAGTGATGACCACGGGCGGCTAAAAAGGAACGTTATTGGCGACGGGATCGGAGTCCACAGTCTCTTTATGGAGCACTCGAACCAAACGCGAAACACCGTTATCGGGTTGCACTGCGACATCGGTTTCGGGAGCAAACTGGACAAAACCAACTCGCTAATACTCCTGTGTGCGTCCGTCCCGTCCCACGCGCCCCCGAACGCTCCCTGCCGATCGGCCCACTGGACTGCTCCCGCATTGAATTCGTCCGCATTGTTCTTTAATTAGTGATGTGGTTTCTTCTCATCCACACGATGGACACGCGGAGGTGCACCACTTTCTGTCTAGCCACGCGACGCTCACACTCGGGCCAGCTGCTCCATGACGCAGAGCTGCTGGCACTGGCACCGATGCGGCTGCTCCAGCTTGGCGAGCGGGTCGAGCTCATGGCACATGTGCCGTGCAGCGGCAGATCCAGAAAAAAATTTAGGGAGACTGAACAACACATACCTTCAACCGCTATTCGATCTTAAGCCTCAGCTCCACCTACACTATAAAATTTTACCTAAAAATTTATAGGAGCTCCACAGGGGTTCCACGCTCCTCTAGCGGTAGGGGGGCTTGAGCCCCGCCCGCCCCACCGCTAGATCCGCCACTGGTGCCGTGGCAGCCACCAGGCATGCAGCGCCTTCCAATCCATCTTAGGCGGTATAGCATAGCCCGTGTGGGTCGCCGGCGCCAGAGGAGGAGCCTTGCTTGAGGAGCTAGGCGAAGAGAGCGTCGAAGCGGTGGAGCAACGGGTCGACGCAGCGGGCGGGCGATGGAGCAGGAGCAGGTGGAGCTTAACAAAATCAGCTCGTGGCCCTGTGCCGCGCTATGCACCAGGCGGCCAAGCCCCGGCCGAGGTCGCGCCCCATCCCCCACCGTAGTTCCCCACCATGTAGGCCATGGCTGCCGGCAACATCGTATTTCAAGTGTTTCATGCGTTTAGACTTATGTTTCAAGCGTTTTCATCTGAATTTGCAAAAGTCGATCTGGGATATTGCATATGTTGCAATGACAATACACGCATGTTGTAAGCATATGTAAGTGTTTCAGTTATTTCAAAAGTATGTTTCAAGTGTTTCATCATAATGTTGCAGAAGTATATCTGGATGCTGTATAACATGCATGTTTCAAACGCATGTTTCAAGTGTTCCATACGAATGTTGCAAGTGTTTTATCTAAATGTTGCAAAACTAGATCTGTATATTGCATATGTTGCTATGGCTATACACGCATGTTTTAGGCATATGTTTCAAGTGTTTGTTTTAAGTCGCATGTTGCAAGTGTTTCTATTAGATGTTTCAAAAGTAAATCTGGGTGAGCACATGTAGCAATGCCCCGGTGGCTGGCGGACAGCAGCATGCCATAGCCGCCTGCTATTGTTGCTGGGGCGCCGCCCGTGGGTCACCGTGCGGGCGCCTAAGGCCGGCAGACGCCTCCTGGCTCGCATCCGCAGGCGGGGTGAGGCAAGCGAGTGGAGTAACAACCCTCCTGTTACGCGGGCGCGGCAGGCACGGGCGAGCACGCGTTTTATGCTAAGCACGTGTTGGGCAATGATAATATTCTCGTGAGCGGCGGGCGCGGCACGGGCGTCCGAGACGAGCGCTTTTGTCCGGACGTCCGGGCGCTAGACCCTAGGCAAACACTATGGCCCTATTTGGGACAGCTCCCCAAACTCCAGATTCAGCAAAAATAGCTCCACTCTACAAAAAAAGTTTGCCAAACAGTCTAGCCACCAAAATCAGATCCACCAAAATAGAGGATCAGAGGCCAGATTCACAAAAAAAGTGGAGCTGCTGAAGGGCTGCTCCACCATGCTAGAATTGGTGAAGTTGGCGAAAATTAGCCACCACTGCCACTGCTTATACATATACTGGATCGTTCTATTTTTTCCGTCTCCTCTCTTCTTCTCCTGTCGTGAGGTCACGCGCCTCCCCGCCGGTCGCCCCCGCGCCCGCGCGCCTGTTCCTCTTCTCCCATCGCGACGCAGTCATCTTCTCCTTCACCGGTGACGCGGCCACCCACCATCACTACACGCCAAGCCCGTTGTTGCCCCGTCCCCGGGGGCCACGCCGCCTCGCTCGGCCGCCATGGTCGCGACCTCCGCCTAGCGGGAGGTCGACGTCGGTGAGGGTCCTAGGGCCACGCCCACCCAGCGAGCCCACGCCCGCCCGGTGTGGGCACGCCCAACCGGTGTGGCCACGCCCCCACTCTCCTCCTGTGCTCGTCAAGGGAAGAAGATAGATCAGTGTTTTTTCCTGACACTGACACATGGGGCCTATCCGAGGGCAAATCTGTCCACTCCAACCAAATGCCCATGCATGGATCTGAAGTTGATTCGTAGCCAAACAGTTTCACTGTGGATCTCAGATCCACTAGTGGAGCTGCTCCACGGTGAATCATGAGTGGAGGAGTTATACCAAACATGATCGTAAAGCTAAATATTAGCCCATCTTTTTAAAAATAGAGTAAACATGAGCTAATTATGGACTAATAAGGGCTAATAAATTCTGATCACAAATTAGCCCCATTAGCTCTTATTAACCTAGAATTGTTTCTGGCTCCTTATACATATAGTTTTTTCTCGGAATTCAGAATCGGATACGGATCATGTTGGGTATGAGCTATTGATATCTATTCATATACATATCAAAAATTTGATTTTGAGTAGATTCAGATACGGTACGGATATTAAATGTTCGGATCCAGATATTGACTATCTATACATAATTGGGAGATGCTAGCGCTGGACCTAACATTATCTGGTTCCACCCGTCCGATCGAACCCGCAATAGAGGGAACCACCCGTGCCGGCGCCCTCCTGCACGCACATGCGAGGACCGTTCACGCCCCTACCGTTCGCTTCTCACGCCCGCCGCCACACCGCGCTCCATCCCTCCACTTCGCACGTGCATGCCCGCCACCCCAGCAACTACGGTAGTTGGGTCCCAATGCAACATGTGCCACACCCGATCTACTTTTGCAACATCTAGATAAAACACTTACAACATACGTCCGAAGCAGCTGAAACACTTGCAACATATGTCTGAAACACTAGAAAAACACGTGTGTAGCCATTGCAAAAAAATATACAATATCTAGATGAAAAACTTGAGACATATGTTTGGGCAACTGAAAACACTTGAAAACATACGCTGGCAACATGCATGTATATGCAATATCCAGATAAAACATTTGCAATATACTTCTGAAATAGATGAAACATACACTTAAAACATACGTGTATAGCCATTGCAACATGTGCAACATCCCGCTCTATTTTTGCAACACCGATATAAAACACTTGCAACATACCTCTGAAACATCTGAAACACTTGAAACATATGTTTGCAACACACGCTTTGAGCGCAATATCTCCTTGCTGTTTGGGAGAAGGTCACGGCATGTCCGATGGAGAAGACCGTGGTGGGCCCACGTGCTCTAGAAGGCTGCAGCGAGCGAAAGGTGCGGTGGAGAGGGAGGAAGACGAGTTACCGTGCTCTGGCATGGGGGACATGCCGGCTAGCGGAGCGGAGGTGCGGTGGAGAGCGTTGTCGCCTAGGCGGTACGAGCGCGCGATCGGTGAGGCGGTGTGGGCGTGGCGGAGCACAATCGTGGAGCGCTGTCACAGCGCTGCGGTGAGGTAAGCATAGATAAGCTACGGCCGTTGGGCTGGCACGGGCGGCCTACCATCGGGAGCGTCCGGTGCTGACGGACGCCCTGTACCAAGAATTACCATATAGAATTTTGATCGTTCTAGATGATATCGGAAAATATCCATCTTGTTTCCATCCCTCCTCCTGAAGACGAAATT